AATCCCAGCTGTGCCAGCCTTTCCTCCCAGCAGAGCTGCTCCATCCTCTGCTCATCCTGGAGCCTCCTCTGCATCTCTCCAGCAGCTCCAGGTCCCTGCTGTGCTGGGGCAGCTCTGCAGGTGGGGTCTCACCTGAGCACAGGGCACAGGGGCAGAATCCCCCTCCCCTCTCCTTCCTGCTGCCCAGCCAGGGCAGGGGGAGTTTCTGGTCCCAGCTCTCACCCAGAGCACCCCCAAATCCTTCTCCCAGGGCTGCTCCCTCTGCTCATCCCCAGCCCTGTCCCCTCCTGCCACCCCAGCTGGGCAGTGCAGCCGTGGCCCCTCCACGTGTCCTCGTTTGCCCAGGGGTCCCTGCCTGCACATTTGGAGGGTCTGGGAATGAACCCCCAGCCCCAGAGCTGCTCCTGAGGGCTCCCACAACACAAAGGGCTCCCAAAGCAAAGCAGCCCATGCCTGACCCCACAGTGCTCCCTGTCCACACAGATTTTGCATCTCTGTTTCTCCTGGCTAGGATCAGATTTAAAGTGCTGCTTCAGAGCCCTGCGTTTGACCTTCTGGAAGAGACTTTTCCTGCTCTTCTGCTCTGGCTCAGGCTCAGCTCCATGTGCTCTAATGCCTGTGAGCCCCTGGACTCCACTCACTCCCCAGCTCTGGGGCTGGGGCAGAGCTGTGGCACAGGAAGATCAGCACTTACACAACTCCAAATCCCCAGCAGACACTGAAACAAGGTGGAATTTCACTTCTTCCCCCATTCTCCTCTGGTTACAAGAGAGCAGAGTGCTCTGCCTGCCACACAATAAAGGCAAATTCTTCAGGGCACGGCTGGGAGGGAACATTTCATTACAAAGGCATCCTACAGAACACACATATGGAACAACCTCGGCCACAAACTGCAATTACAACCCCGGCTCTGCTTTAACAGAATTATTAGAGCTGAACTAAAATGCTGTTATCCACCTCTTGGAAATGTTATTACTGAGCACAGATTACATCACCCTGAGAAGGGCAGACAGGGACTGGCATGGACAGACTTTTGCAAGAGGCACAGAGATCTGACCTCAGCCTCATCACAAACTGCCCTGGGGAAAAGAACCCTGCACCAGGGAGGAGCCCTCACATCCAACTCCTCAGCACAGACCTATTGTCAGACAAATCTCTGCAGGAAAGGAAGAAATCCTTTCATTTTTGGGGGGTGGCTGGAGGATCCACAGCCTGCCTGCTTCTGGTGCTGCTCATTTCTGCTGGAGTGATTCT